AATTGGATTTGGGTGGAAGTTCAGGGAAGAGATGGTTAATCAGGGATTCATTGGGTCGAGGCCCACTGCTTCAGTGTTTTTGTTCATTCTTAATCTATAGACAGTTAATATATTTATTCATGTAATCTGAACATTTTATGTGAGGTTAATTTAAAACAAAGAACTGAGACCATCCAAAATTGAAGGTAAGTGTACCAATAAAGTTTGCACTATATCCAGAGTTTGAGAGATATATATATCCTTTATGTATGTAGTGTTTATTTAAAAAAAAAAATACAAACTGACCAAAGGAATAGTCATTTTAAATGGCTTTTTCTTAGGCAATAGTGAGGAATCAAGACTTTCTTAAGACATAATAAAAATAGAAATATTTACTTTTTACTATAGTTAAATAGTTAAGGACACAGATTTCTTTTTAAAATATTGAGGGTTTATCAGATGACTACCCTTAAAGTTTATGTTCTTTTATTAGTAACTTATAAAGTTCAGGATAAGATCCTTGACATGTTAATCTTGACTCACCATGACTGAATCTTTCTCATGGAATTATTAGTTAAAATCATTTTAGTTAATAATCCCATGAAAAAGGAAAAGCAAGGTGGAAGGAAAGACCTGGTTAATAAGGTCGTGCATGATCATTTGTTTATATATACATGATAATTTAACTCTTCTTTAATTTTGTTGACTTCAAGCAAAGTAATCTTTCAGACATATTATTATGTAGTTACTACAAAAATACGATTTGGCACTTGAATTTCAAAGGTGATATTTGTCCTGTCTAAGCTTGGCTTAATAGTACTGCTGCCAACTCTAAAGTGCTCTCCAGGGCTAGACTAGAAGACACGATAACTAACCAACAGCCGAATGCAGTGCTTCTCCAGCTGTGCTGTCCACTGGGACACCAAGCCATCACATACCTTACACTGTGCACTTCCACAGTGTTCTCTGAGTAGTCCTGTCAAATGCCAGAGCCCAGTGGACCTAGCCCCGTGCCTCAGACTCAGCTGTGTATCATTGTCCTGCCCAAAACATGGAACAATAGGAAAAGTCAAATCCATTATGATCAAAGTCAGGTACGTTCAAAGAATTTCTCTGCAGAGTCTTAGGACCTAATTGCACCTTAAAAGTATTGGAGGATTTCAGCAACTGTTTCATTTTCCAAGCTCAAGCAAATTAGCTAATTTGACCATATTACTTTTACCTCATTTATCTTGCAGATCATCTGGCAAATGTATTGTTTGATTAATACTTTTAAGGGAATGTAATTCTACATGTCTTCGGAACCTTCCTAAGTTCCCATATTTTTTATTGTCGTCTGTAATACTTGAATGTTAAGGCCCTCCAAAATACTAGTGTGAGTCTTGGTAAGAAAAGGGCTTTTAATAGAAAATGAATAATTCTTAGTAAATTCTTCTCTTTCTAAATATTGGAAAAATTTTTAATAATATAATTTTGGTTGCTTTCCAAGCATTCAGTTTGCTTACAGTCACTAATTAGCAATAAAAGTTTCTCATCAGCAAGATGAGTAGGTTAGGCTGGATGACCAAATCCTTTCCAGATTCACCTCTCTCTTCGCAAGTTCCTCATCTAAAAAGCGTGTGTAATATAAATACCTGCCTCAAAGTGTGGGAGGATTAAATGTTGTAACACATACAAAACACTCAAAGAATGTCCAGGTATGGCTGGGTATCCTATGACTATATTTTGCCACTGGTCTTTCATGGGTTTTTTGTTTATATTTTTGTACCTTTAAATAATGTTTACCTTTAACTTATGCAGTTAATTTGTAAATGGTATGAATAAACATTAAAGATTGACTTGCTGCCAACAATTTTGAACAATGTGTTGATGGTCATGTTGAATTTTAGGCTTAATTTCAAAGTCTTAAAAGCATACTTTTAAAAAAACATTGCAACAAAAAAAAAATGGTCTCATTTTAAGAATGGCATTAGAGTGTTAGTTATCCTGTGAATAGAACATTCTCTATTCCTTCCCTTTTTTGTGTCTTGCATAAATATAATCTGACACTGAGTTAAGTGTTAATTGACACCATATTTTGCTTGATCAACCTGCAGTTAAAGTTATGAAGCAGGAAACCGAAATGTAACCAACCAGGATCTCCACATGGCCTGGAATGAACTATGGCTTGTTGTATAGCACTGGTTTCAAAATTACGAGTAGATAGCCTATAAATATTTACCTAATTAGATTAAGACAGAGTCATTGAATATCTAGATCTTCCCAATGAGGAAGGGACTCTAATAATGAAATTCTCTTTCTTTGAAAATGAGGACCGCTGCTGCCTCACGATATAGAGCCCTCCCCATAAGGGGAAGTGTTCACATTGAGGTAACCCGTCATTTAAGAGTAGGGCCATTTCCACATCTGGCAGGAAGCTGAACTATACAACTTCTAAACTCATTTCCAGTTCTAAGATTTCACAAAATTAAAAAAATTGAGGACCTGTTCCAGTACTGTTATCATTGCTTTTAAATTGAGGTCTCTTTATTTTCTCTTTGACATGTAAGATGTCAAAGTATAGAATTTTGAATCATAAGCAGTTTTATTCTTAATATTACCTACTGTTTGATTGAGGAGGAATAATTTAAGCTGTTTATATGTGTACAAGATACTTTTTATATTTATCCACTGAAGAGTATTTTAAAGATAAGGTTATTGTAAAAAAAATTAATTCTTCCAAAAGGTGAACTTCTTTTTTTTAGTGGAATAAATAATAGTCAAAAACCAGATGAAATCAGATGGTCACCTTCTGAAATCACACTCAGGAGTAGTTCTATTTGACAAGCAAATTTTGCATTGATCATCTTGATTCTTAACTTTGCCAACCTTTCACCTACCTCTTCTGCCAAAGTAAAAAATTTTGGTATACTAATATGCTGAAAAAACCACCAAGACCTAAGTCACAGAGGGAGGCTAGAATGGATGTTATATCTCTCATTAGACTCATTGCCCTGCTTTTCTTTATTTGGTTTCAGTTTTTTTAGGCCCATCTGCCATTGCTGTCATGGGAACCAGTGGCCAGTAGTTTCTTTTTTACTTTTTTTTTAACCTTTTTATGTGTTTCTTTAACGGGTTTGGTCATTTTAAGTATGACATACTTAATGTCATATTAAGGCTTAGTGTAACAGGTAAACAGTGTAACTCTTAAATCTTGTTCCTGGTGCTGCGACTACATTGGTGAATCAGATAGATGTGGTCACCGCCCTGGTTGAACTTACAGTCTAATGGAGGAGACAACAAGTAAATTGGCTGTTACATAACTGTAAGTCATGAGAAGAAAAGAAACAGAGTACACTGATGCGGAATATGGTGAGGGTGTGGCAGGAGGGCACTATTTTAGACAGGGGAGGCAGAAGAGACCCTTTCGAAATCATAACATTTAAGCTAGGACTTGAAGGATAAGAAAAGTAATAATGTTCCATGGAGAGGAAACACGTGTCAAGTTTCTGAGGTGCAAAAGAGCCTCATTCACATTTTCTTTCTGTGCTTGTTTAAACCGTAGAGATGACTGATTTAACCCATTACTGAAATGGTTATTATTTGATGCAATTCATTTAAATTGTCAGCGCCCAAAAAATCATCCCTTCACTTTGTACCTTAAACCTTGACCCCTGAGCCACTCAAAGTATCACGTTTAGTCTCAATTTAAATATGATGTATCTAATCTAGTACTTCCTCTAGAGGGAATTTTCAATACGTTTTAGCTCCTTTGCCTTTTCCCTGCTCTTCAGCACTGCTGGGAATGTGTTTACTGGGCAGTCCCTCTCCCCCACTCCCCACAGAGGTATGTGGGGTTTGGTGTGGGGATAGGGAGGACACAAGCAAGAAAAAGACCATGGTCTCCAGACCTACCCATGTTCTCTCTGGTAAGGCTCCAGGGATCCCTCCCTCCTCTTGAGTCTCTCCCAATTTGCCTTCTTGAGTTCAGGTTGCTTCAGGAATGTTGCCAAGATATTCAGCAGTCTGCAAGAACTCAAGTCCTGGTTATCACCGTACCCTGCCCATCAGGCCTTTCTGTTGTTTTCCTTTCTTTCTTCATCCTAAATCTCTTTGTTGGCTGTGCACCGCATGACTTTTTCATCAAGAAGCTGCTCTGGTTGATTCAGAAATGGGGGTGGTGAGGTGGAGAGATCTGATTGAATTACTTTGGAATTCCTCTGACTTCCTCTTTAGTATGTCTCAGGTAGTGGTTCTCCCAAAGGCCAAAAGTTATGAGGAAGGCCTTGGCAGCCAGAACGAGATGTGGCCTTGGCCTGCTGCTTCTTGTAGTGGAGGGATTGGCCTTTTACCTACAGCTGGCAGCCCTGGAGAAAAACAGAATAGCTGAGTCCAATAGTCGTTAAGACTTGGCTTGTTTCACTTGTCCCTCTTGAAGCTACTGCCTTACAGAGTACTTTTTTCCTAGCAATAATAGGGGTCAGGGGGGTGAGGAGAGAACACTGGACCTTCAGGACCTCTCTCTGTGCCTTCATTTTTTCCCTTATTGGTAAAATGAGAGTGTTGGCATAGATGATCCCCAAGGTCCCTTTTACTTCTAATGTATCATGTTTCTGTTTTAAACCATGTTGTGGTTTTGTCTCTAATGTCTGACATACATAATGTTTATACTGGAAATTATCCCAGGATGTGAGCTTGATACATTTGTGGAAACTTAGAGCCCTACTGATTGAGCTGGATGTACTCATTGCAGAGTGGAGGGTTGGATTGTAGTTGGAAAACTTTGTACTGCCAATATCTCTTACTGCAAGTTTCTTGAATGCTGTTGAAAGCAGTGGTACTGTATGCCCTGAGGATGAAACAAGCTAGCTAAACCTGAGTTAGTCCCCAAAGAATAATCATTTATCAGTGAGAATTGTGGTGAATGACTTGAAGATGTGTTTTTTCATTTTCTCAAAGGGCTCAAATTGTATTGAAATAGCACTGTGCTGTGTGAGTCTGAGTTCTGTTGCTCTCTAAATTGGTCCCTCCTTCTTTTTCAGGAGCTATTGTGACAATCTTGGTTACCATCCATTAAGTGCTGCTGACTTTGGAAAGATCATGAAAAATGTCTTTCCAAACATGAAGGCACGTCGTCTGGGCACGAGAGGCAAATCTAAATATCCTTTCCCAGAGTGGTTTTTAGTAATCTCTGTAAGGGTGCTTATTACAGAACATCTGCTGTGGTACTTCAACCAGCACTTGCAGTTCAACTACATTTATTGAGAAATAAATTTAAATTAACAAATAGAAACAACTCAAAAGGACTTAGTAGAATAATTGCAAATGTTATTTTCCCAGCTATTTATCAAACTGCAAGAGAAATAACAAACAGTAGTTATTATAAGGATTGTGATAGATTTCCCCTTATGCTGTCTCTGTAATGTGTTCTTATGGTCTGATGTCCTTTTCTTTAACAATAAGAATTATTGAGGCATGCCACAGTACAGCAATTGTAAGTTGTATCAATAAAAATGGAGAAAGATGTTAGATTATCTTCTTTACTTCCTCTAATTTAGAAAAGTAGGGATCTCCTTGGCAAAAGATAGAATATTCAAAAAAATTTCTGTGGAACTTGTACTGGACGATAAGTGTTCTCTTTAAAGTGTTTTTCAGCCAACCATTTAAAGCCTCTATTAAAATTAAAGCCACAGCATAGAAATGGTCCCTCTTGTGATGGAGCAATACTTAGGAGCAAACAGAAGTAAAAAAAAAAAAAAAAATTAAACTTAAGAATTTATTAAAGTTCTTCCTAATCTTGAAATAAGATTGTAAAATAGAGGGTCTCTCTGTCATATTAGAAATACATCATTTCTCTCTGCTTATTAGCTCTTGGCATTTTTCAAAGCTTAAAAATTCACTACTCTAGAGGAAATGAGGGGAAGGGGGAAAGGCTGCTTTTCTAAAATGGATCCAGGTGTTTTTGAGCCACTTGTTGCATGACCTAGACTTGTTTCCTGAGTACAAAAAGAAATGTCTTGATGTGTCTTTGGCATGTTACAGGCGATAATCCTGTGTGTTTCAGTGGAAAAAGAGAAGTGAAAAGGTTAAAGCCCTTGTGACACTCTTAAGAGTTGTTTTTGTCCCAGTGCCCTGGGCTAAAGTTTCCCTTCTCTGTGCCAGGTTTCCATCTGGATATTCCTTTCCTTTTGACCTGTTTGTTACTGGTGGCTGGCACAGCTTATTAGGAACATTTATTTGTAAAATTTATAACAGATGAAAATCATTTTGTTTCATTTAAGACAGTAACGTTCTACAAAGACTGTTCCAGTTTCAAAAGAGTAAAAGTGTCCTGAGTTTCTAATGTTAAGGTTTCTCTTACTGAAGAACTCAGAAAGTAGATGTCATCTTATGCTGATTTTATTCTCATTTCATATAACTAACTATATAAGCAGTTTATTTAATTTAGGGTACTTTAGACCTTAACCATTTATTACATATTGCTACAGTGGACTAAGAAAAAAAGCTTTTGTCCATATGCCAACACTGCCCAATCTTGACTTTCACAAAACTGGAGATGGGGTAAGAATTTTGCCTTTTCTTTTTAATATATAGAATTATACCTTAATATCAGCATTGAAATGCATACTGCATAGTCTCATTTGGATAAAACCAGGGACCAGGAACGGTGTCTTTTACAAAATAAATGAACCCAAAAATTCAACAGTGGCTGAAAAATGTTAGGGTATATGACTTATATCAACATGGCTCGTGAAATTTCAGAGAACAAAGATGTATCTAAAGTTACTGATTTGTAGATATATCCATGATGTATATTGTCAAGAGGAAATTTTAAGTTGTAGGGTAATATGTTTAGTATGAATGTTTTCAGAAGAGCAAATATGGCTAGTAGCATAGTTTGTTTTTTTTGATGTTAGAAAAGCTTTTAGAAAGATTCAAAAGATCTGTTAGTCTTCATATATGTTTAACAACCATTTAAATGTTACATTCACAATGCTGCTGATGGCTGCGCACCAGTGGCTATAGGCAAAGACACCTTATTTGCAATGCTCTTATATGCATGCCGTACGTCACTTCATACTACTTAGACCCAGCAGATTTAGATTGTATCTTCTAATTAAGAGTACGTATCTTGAATTGCTTCTATTTAATTTCTATGAACTTTCTCTTAAAAATTAACTTTTCCTTTTTCCTTTGTTTAGTTGGAAGGAGCTGAACCTTCTGGGCAGCTTCAAAATATTGACGAGGAAGTTATCTCTTCTGCTTGCCGCCTGGTGTGTGAGTGGGCCCAGAAAGTGTTAAGCCAGCCATTTGACACAGTCTTGGAATTAGCCCGCTTCCTCATAACAAGTCACTGTATAGGTACCAAGTCGATGGCAGCTCTAACTGTGATGGCAGCAGCACCACCAGGTACAAAACTATTCACAAGCTAAAGCTGACAGGGCATTACTTTATGTAGAGTTGATAGCAAAAGAAGAGTTTAGCCAGAGAACTTGTCTTTTCAGTATTTGTATGAATTCACTCTTACTTCATTTAACACTAAATTCAAATGGGTTTTTTGAGCCAACAAACATAGTAATAGTAGTCCTTTCATTATAAAGCTTAAAGCTTTTTGTATGTTGCTTTGCCAAAATATGAAACTTTTAAGGTTTCCCAGCTGATGTTTGCTTAATTTTTTCATTGCTATTTAAAATTTAAAGATACATTCATATGTACTTTTAAGTACATATGCGTATCTAAATTAATAAACTAAATATTAGAGGTAAAAGTAAGACTGCGTTTTAAAATTATTTGCTAGACTGCTTTCTCAGAAACTAATGCTTATAAATAAAATGATCTTTGGACATGTGAAAGGTGCTTTAGTCTCACAAAAAATGAACTATATGAAGCATTACTATAAAATAGCGAGTGATTTTTTTATATGCATATATGCATTCAAATGAGTATTTTCATTCAAATAGGAATTTTAGAATTGACAGTATTGTTGGAATAAATGACCCCTAAATTAGTAGCTGTGTAAAGTATCTGTTCTGATGAAATTTTTTAAATGTCTTATTTCAGTCATACCTTATAAACCTAAAAAAGAGTGAATAAATTATGTTAATACTGTAGGAAATTACAATTTCTATGAAAAACTTATTAACATGAAACTTGTTTTCCAGAGATAATTCTTCTGATTGTTAAATGTAAATGTTTTTAAATCTGCAATAGATTTATGACAGCCAGAATTATGGTCTCTTAAATAACTTCACTTTTTGTGGGGGTCTTAACTTCATCGTTTTAATAAGGAATCCTTTTTCTTTTAGTTTATATTCATCAGAAGCTTTAAGCATTTGTGGTGTGTTTGTGGGATTGTTCTGTCCTCTCATTTTATGGTCAGTTGAGGCCCCACTGCAGAAAAATAATCTCTAACAAGAGCCTCCTCATAATTTTTTCTGTTTGGATGTAAACTGTATGACCTAAATCTGTTCCCTTAACACTTACTCAGAAGCAGGGGAGTGCTGGGGCAGCCTTATCGAGCTAGATAGCTCACACATGTTACCTCATTTATTCCCCTGGCAGTCCTGGAAGATACATGATATTTATTCCCATTTTACAGATCAGGAAACAGCCTCTCAGGGAGGTTAAGTGTTTTGTCATGGGCAGATAAGTAGTGGGACCAGAATTTGAATCCTGATTTGTCTGTCTCCAAAGCCCCCTTGAGGCATAAGTGTAAAGAAAGGTGTGTTTTTTTAAACAAAAATACTAAAAATTACATATATAGACAAGTCTTTTCCCTTTTTGAAAGTAGTCAGCTTGGGGGCTCTAACAATTGTTTCATTACTCAAACATTTTTAGAATCTCTTGAAATTTTGTTCTCAGCCAGTACCACATTTTTTTGAATACCTTTGGTAGTGATTAATCTTCATCCTTTGAAGTGAATTTGGTTTTTTATAAATATAGTCTCCATATTAAGAACAGGTTGTGTTACAAATGTTCTTTTGTAAGTCAGCTGCTTGGAACTCATTCCCGTCCAGAAACCCTGGCAGGCGGGGTAACAGCCAAGCTTTGAGCCACTGGCAGAGGCTCTCGGGGTGCAGGTGCCGAGAAGCCAGAGCTGAGGCTGGGGGCCAGGAGGGAGCAGTGCAATTCGAGCTGCGTTTGAAGAGAAAAAAATAATGATAAATAGGGGCTCCGAAAATGAGGGATTATTGAGGAGTGAGTGTGTGGGAGAGAGTTTACAGTCACTTCCTTTTCTCCTTCCCGTCTCCCACTCCCCAAGTTATTGTTCTTAACGGAACGTGAAAAGCAGAAACTGGACTGGGGAAAGGTAGGGCAAGGTGTGCCAGCAGGGTGATGATGTCCTCCCCTTTCCTCTGTCCACTGGTTTTACCGACCAGGCTTATTTTCTGATGATCTCAGTGCCACACCTTAAATGTGAAATGAGCTTTTAAAAAAATTAATTGTATTACATAATCAATTTTTCTTAAATTGACATTTATCTCTTGCTTATTTTATTCCTTTTTCTCAGTGTTGATCTTCCTACTGCTTTAAAGAGTTTGCTCAGTGACACTTTTTCAAAATATCTTAACCTCAGTGTTATCAAGAAACTGCTTAATTTCTCCTAGGTCGTACTGGAATAATTGTGTAGTAGCAGTTAAAATAGTTTTATCTATTTTCATGAATTTCTGGTAGAATTAAAGATTTGTTTTCCCCATACAAATTTTTCCTAATATATGGATGGTTTCCGCAAATATTTATGGAGTGCCCCTTGTGGGCTGAGTATTAAAATCGTGAAAATGCTTGAATTTCTAATTAGAGAAGGTGGGGAGGGAAATTTCTGACATCTACTGATAAAATATAAAACATGCTTTCTTTGCATTTATTTATCCTAACTTCTGCATATTCATGACATAGCTACTCTTTTCAAAATCTTCGTCTGTTATTGTTGATTTAACTGAAACAGTCACCTGAGTTGAACCATATTTTAAAGTGTCAATTAAAACCATATTGACAAATGTTTATAAATTGGAAGTCTAATACTTACGCTTTATAAAGAAACTGTGAGTTAAAATTTGCTAGGTTTTTGGGGCTGGCCCCGTGGCCGAGTGGTTAAGTTCGCGCGCTCCGCTGCAGGCGGCCCAGTGTTTCGTTGGTTCGAGTCCTGGGCGCGGACATGGCACTGCTCATCAGACCACACTGAGGCGGCGTCCCACGTGCCACAACTAGAAGAACCCACAACGAAGAATACACAACTATGTACCGGGGGGGTTTTGGGGAGAAAAAGGAAAAAATAAAATCTTTAAAAAAAATAAAAATAAATAAAAAAAATAAATTTGCTAGGTTTGGTTGCCGTGTGCGGTAGATAGCTACATATTCAAAGAAATGGAGTTGTAACTGCCTTCTATAAAGGAGAGTATTTATTTTAGCTTTCCATTCTGTTTATTTTCAGGAATTAAAGGAGTTACCCAGCCTTCTGCTTTTATACCTACAGCTGAAAGTAATTCATTTCAGCCTCAGGTGAAGACTTTGCCATCACCTATTGATGCTAAACAGCAATTGCAACGGAAAATTCAGAAGAAGCAGCAAGAACAGAAACTACAATCCCCTTTGCCAGGAGAATCCTCAGCGAAAAAATCAGAAGGCGCTACAACTAATGGAGTGACTAATCTTTCTAATGGAAATCCTGCAATCCTTTCTCCTCAGCCTATTGGTATTGTTGTGGCAGCTGTCCCTAGTCCCATTCCGGTAATATCATCAAATAGTGTTTGGCTTTACTGGGATGGTGGGAAGTCAATCATTTAATTAAAAGTGGCACAGGAGAAGGAGGCAAGTATAGGTGTAAATTCAGTTATTAACTAATTTTGTGACCACAGATAGATTCAGCTTCAGTTGGTTGTCTTTTACAAAGTGAGCTATCAAATGAACATACGTGAAAATACAAAGATCCAAGACATACAAAGTATGCACATAACTGGTCAGAGCATTATGTAAGAGATGAGTCATTTTCAGAGTTGTTTCTTCTCTAGCTAAGCCAAGATGACGCAATTTAAACGTTTTTTTTTGGTTTAAACTTCTTTTTAAGATTCAGATGGAGCAAAATTGTAATGTGTATTGATAATGCTTTAACATAGACCTATGTCTGTGGCTTGCTGGACATAGGACCTTGGGCAAGTCCCTTAGCTACCCTGAGTCCATTTCCTTATCAACAAACGGAGGTGATATTCTTCCCTTTTCCTGTCTCAGACCACTAAGGTTGTGATGAAGGGGCTTTTAAAATGAAAGTGTATCATACTAAAACAGGATGGTATTTTATGTTGTTACTGATATTATGAGGGAGATAAAAACTTTATCTTGTTTTTCTTGTTCCTACCATTATCATCATCATGTCATTAAAACATGGAATACCTGGTAACTACACTCTTGTACTGTTCACTATAGAGCAAATTTGGGGAGACAGTTGTTTTATCTGAGACCTTATGGTTTAATTACTAAGATGCAAGTTAGACCCATTTATCAGACAGTGTCCCCAGTGAGTGAGTTATCTTCTTGGCACAGACTCCAGTCGATACCATCATAAAGTTGCATATTTCTTCAAGATTTTCCTCTTCTCCCTATAACCTCCTTAAAAATCATTGTTTTGGTAAGTATTCATCACAAGTGTGAAGTTTTTGGTCCTGTTAATTGAAAAGTATCTTAATGTTCTTCTTTACATATTGTGTCTTCCAGCTATAATGCACTATGTTGCATTTATTTTCATATTTATGTGTCTGATTGTGTAGAACCTGGTCTAGAAGAACTCTCATCTAACATAGGAACTGATTTTTTTTTTTTTTTTAGCATTGCATTTATTAAATGCCTTGTTACTATACAGGTATATGAATTACTGTTTATATCCTAGGCTTGTTAAATCTGATTTTTTTTCTTGTTTTTCACCTTCTAACAGGTCCAGCGGACCAGGCAGTTGGTAACTTCCCCAAGTCCAATGAGTTCTTCTGATGGCAAAGTTCTTCCCCTCAATGTACAGGTGGTCACTCAGCACATGCAGTCTGTGAAACAGGCACCAAAGACTCCTCAGAATGTTCCAGCCAGTCCTGGTGGGGATCGTTCTGCCCGGCACCGCTACCCTCAGATCTTACCCAAACCTGCCAACACCAGTGCGCTCACCATCCGCTCTCCAACTACTGTCCTCTTTACTAGCAGTCCCATCAAAACCGCTGTTGTACCCACTTCACACATGAGTTCTCTAAATGTGGTGAAAATGACAGCAATATCCCTCACACCCAGCAACAGTAGTGCCCCTCTTAAACATTCTGCCTCAGTAAACAGTGCTACAGGAACAACAGAAGAATCAAGGACCTTTCCGCAGATCAAGAATGGTTCTGTTGTTTCACTTCAGTCTCCTGGATCCAGGACCAGCAGCGCTGGGGGATCATCTGCTGTGGAAGTCAAAATAGAACCTGAAACTTCATCAGATGAGCATCCTGTACAGTGCCAAGAGAACTCTGATGGGACTAAAGCTCCCAAAACAACACCTAGTGCCCTTTTGGGGCAGAAAAGTAATACTGATGGAGTAGTGCAAAAACCTTCAAATGAAGGTGTCATTGAAATAAAAGCAACTAAGGTCTGTGACCAGAGGACCAAATGTAAAAGTCGCTGTAATGAAATTCTGCCGATCACTTCAACAGGCAATAATCAAAGCACTGTCACACTCTCAGTTGCCACTCAAAACTTAACTTTCACCAGCACCAACTCACCATCTAATGGTGACTCAATAAATAAAGACCCTAAATTATGCACTAAAAGTCCAAGAAAGCGACTGTCTTCTGCATTGCAAGAGTCCCAGGTGCCTCCTATAAAGAAACCAATAGTGGAACAGCTTTCTGCAGTTAACATGGAAGGTCAGAAACCAGGCAGTGTTAAGAAGGACCAAAAGGTTCCACATTCAGGGAAAACAGAAAGTTCAACAGCGGGTGCTCAGATTTCTAGCAAGGTATCAATGAATGTCAGTTCACACACAGTGGCAAATCGACCCTTGAATTCTTCTGCTCTTATTACCAGTGGTTCAGTTTCGGAACAGCAAACACCATCATCATCTCCAGATATAAAAGTAAAACTTGAAGGGAGTGTCTTTCTCTTAGACAGTGATTCAAAACCAGATGGCAGCTTTAATCCAAATGAATGGCAGCAGGTCACTAAGAATTCTGAGTTTATATCTGCCGGCTGTGAACAGCAAGATATCAGTGTTATGACAATTCCTGAGCACTCTGATATCAATGACCTAGAGAAATCTGTTTGGGAATTAGAAAGAATGCCACAGGACACATATACCCAGCAGCTACATAGCCAGATACAAGAATCTTCTTTGAATCAAATACAAGCACAGTCTTCAGATCAGTTACCTCTACAGTCTGAACTAAAGGAGTTTGAGCCTTCTGTTTCCCAAACAAATGAAAGCTACTTTCCTTTTGATGATGAACTTACACAAGATAGTATTGTGGAAGAGCTGGTGCTTATGGAGCAGCAAATGTCCATGAACAATTCTCATTCTTATGGTAACTGTTTGGGAATGACCCTTCAAAGTCAGTCAGTAACTCCAGGAGCTCCAATGTCATCTCACACCTCCAGCACCCACTTCTATCATCCAATCCATAGCAATGGCACTCCAATCCACACACCCACACCCACTCCTACCCCGACCCCAACCCCGACCCCAACCCCAACCCCAACATCTGAAATGATTGCTGGGTCTCAAAGTCTGTCGCGGGAGAGCCCTTGTTCCAGGCTAGCCCAGACCACACCTGTGGATAGTGCTTTAGGAAGTAGCCGACATACACCCATTGGTACTCCACATTCTAACTGCAGCAGTAGTGTCCCTCCCAGCCCTGTTGAATGCAGGAATCCATTTGCATTTACCCCAATAAGCTCCAGTATGGCATATCATGATGCCAGCATTGTTTCAAGTAGTCCTGTGAAGCCAATGCAAAGACCCATGGCCACACACCCTGACAAAACCAAGCTAGAATGGATGAATAATGGGTATAGTGGGGTTGGTAATTCATCAGTTTCTGGCCATGGCATTCTCCCAAGCTATCAGGAACTAGTGGAAGACCGTTTCAGGAAACCTCATGCTTTTGCTGTGCCTGGACAGTCTTACCAGTCTCAATCCAGACATCATGACACTCATTTTGGTCGTTTGACTCCTGTCTCTCCTGTGCAGCATCAAGGTGCCACTGTAAATAACACCAACAAACAGGAGGGTTTTGCAGTCCCTGCCCCTCTTGATAATAAAGGAACTAATTCATCTACCAGCAGCAATTTCAGATGCCGGAGTGTGAGCCCTGCTGTTCATCGCCAACGTAATCTTAGTGGAAGCACCCTCTATCCAGTAGCTAATATCCCCCGATCTAATGTGACCCCCTTTGGAAGTCCAGTAACCCCAGATGTTCATGTTTTCACAAATGTTCACACAGACCCATGTGCCAACAACATAGCTCAAAGAAGTCAATCAGTTCCACTGACAGTCATGATGCAGACAGCCTTCCCGAATGCTCTTCAGAAGCAAACAAACAGTAAAAAAATAACCAATGTTTTGTTGAGTAAACTTGATTCTGACAATGATGATGCAGTGAGAGGTTTGGGCATGAACAACTTGCCCTCCAATTACACAGCCCGGATGAATCTCACTCAGATTTTGGAAACTTCCACTGTTTTTCCTAGTGCCAATCCGCAGAATATGATCGATTCCAGCACTTCTGTTTATGAATTCCAAACACCATCTTACCTCACCAAAAGTAATAGCACCGATCAGATCAGTTTTTCTCCTGGAGATAATCAAGCACAATCAGAAATTGGAGAGCAACAATTAGATTTCAATAGCACTGTTAAAGACCTGTTGAGTGGAGACAGCTTGCAAACCAGCCAGCAGCTAGTAGGTCAGGTAGCATCTGATCTTACTAATACTGCGTCTGATTTCTCTAGCGATATCAGGTTGTCTTCTGAGCTCTCAGGCAGCATCAATGATTTGAACACTTTAGACCCAAATCTACTGTTTGATCCAGGTCGTCAGCAGGGACAAGATGATGAAGCTACACTGGAAGAATTAAAGAATGACCCATTATTTCAACAAATTTGCAGTGAATCCATGAGCTCTATGACTTCATCAGGTTTTGAATGGATAGAAAGCAAGGACCATCCTACTGTTGAAATGTTGGGTTAAATTGTGTTTTATAATATGTAGCACACTGTATCTAAAGACATATGTATTGTATTTGTCTTAATGGAAGTGCCTCCCGCAGCAGAAACACTTACTATTAATTGTGACATTTAAAAAGTTTGCTGCAGAAGTGGTTTCTTCTTCAGTAGGAAATGGTTAGACTCGCCTCAGTTCTTAACAAGTTTCTAAAGACAGTAGGCTGTAGAAGAAAAAGTATTAGGTTTTAAATTTTATAATGTTCCCCATTTAATCACATTGTTTGCTAGTAAACAATTGACTAACCAGCTTTTACAAGAGCAGTCTAGATCTTTATTTGTGTAAATTCATTTTAATTCATTGGTTGATCTGCACAGAATTTAGTGGAAACCATTGATTTTAGGTATAGGCTATTTTTTGTTGTTGTTGGCATTATCTTTTAGATATGAAATCATAGCTAAGGTGAACTGTAGACAAGAAGGTCTTCCTTGAAACAGGGATAATATTCAGGTTATTATAAGTATTTACGCTTGAAGCATAGAGCTACTGTAGAATGAAAATTCTCTGTAGGACTTTCTGGGACTTCAGTACCATTTGCACCTGCAATGAAGGGCTTCAATAGGAAAAAATAATGGAAAATTAAATATTAACCTAAGGAAAGCAAAAGCTGCACTAAAATTTTTTAAAGGAAAACCTAGTAGCCATTTATATTTGTGACCTTGTGTTAGTCTTATTTTAAAATACTGATTTTAATATGGAGCTAAAATACAGAGACATGCACGTGTGTGCACACACACACACAGCAAATAACTCCAAACATTGTAATTTAATAGAATAAAAGCAAGCATGTTAGGAAAATATTTTGAGTTTTATTATTAGGTAGTTGAGATAGGGGAATTTAGAAGGAAAATAAAAGCATTTTCTTAGTTTCATCACAGTGGCTACATGCACATATGTAAAATTCTATTGAAGATTTCTTTTGAAGTTTTTTTAAGTAGAATAATCTTAAGTTCTCAATTTAGTGACCGACTCCTCCGCTCCTCCTGATTCTAGTAATAGAACGTGATCATGACATCCCTTTGAGAAACAAGCAGGAGGGAGATAAGATAAAAACTGAGCAAAAAACATTTCAGCACCTAAGGTCTGAAGCCACAGATCTTTGTATCTGATAAGCAAAGGGGCCATCAATAGTACTTGAAGAAGAGGGGCATTTTATTACATGCTTAATTTATTGACTGTGATAACCACAATTGCAAAAGAAGCACTCAGGATTTGTTTTAAAATGTTTCTCTCTATGGCTCCCATTTTGTTTTATGAATAATTATTTATGAATTTCATGTTGACAAATCTGCTCACTAGTTGACAGCTCCATTTAAGTGAGTTTCAAGATGACTTTCAAATAGATTTAAAAATTGCCATTAAGTTTTTAAAGCTAACATTAAACCATTGCTATGCTACCTTGAACCTAGATAAGCTTTCCTTTATTAATTAGTAAGCCAATCGGAAGACTACAATCAATGAATATTTAACAAATGTGATGAAGGGTTTAATTTAATAAGGCTTCATTGTTCAATAAATTTGCAAGGTAGGTTATTAACATATTTTGATAAATAAATGGTGCTAGGGTTTGCTCAGAGGTTTATATATTGATATGTCCTAGTTATTGGCATTTGTGTGTGTTTGCTGTTATCTTGATTTAATGATCTGTTAGATATTTTTTCTTGATCCTAGTTATTTCTTCACTGTACATTGAGACACAGCACTACTGCACACCAAAGTATGCAATACCCAAAGGAAACTGTGTGATTTCTTTTAACAAATGATGGGAGCCTTTCTATATGAGATACTCTGAAAAGGAGATTTTGAGGCCATTCTAATCCCTTGTTTACATTATTAGCTTCCTACTAACATAAAAATAATGGAAATCTTTTTTGATAAAAATATAAAGACTGGAGGATTTTTAACCCCTGTACAGTATTGCAGCAAACACTTTAAATTTGGTTGAATTCGTCCAGCAAACTTTCTGGGGTTCATATATTGCACTAAATTTGTTGAACCTGTGGTAGGCACATCTCTTAGGATAAATGCAACCAATACAGTCCACAGATTAAACTTTTTAAATGTGTTTCATTATGAAAAGACAAAATGTCATCAAAGTGACAGATAAAATTGTCTTATGTAGCAATGTGCATTGATCTCAATGAGATATTTCTATTTCTTATTCTCTTACGTGAGAATATTACAGCAGGAAGAATTTAGTTTGCTTCACCATGTTAATACATGATCACAAAATGTGCATGAGTGTTATTGACTTACCTTGTACAGTACTAGGTATTCCTGTAACCACTTTTTTTTTTCTTGGCTGTATTGAGACTGGTTCAATGTTAACCAGGCAGGCATAGTTATTCACAAGTTATTTACTTTTTTATGTTTACTAATTCTGCTTAGTTATTGTTGAATATGTTCTTTTCTCAGATTATTTTCATTGTTTTGATGTTTAAAACATTTTGCATACTGTTTATCATGATAAGACTTCATGAAGTAAATAATTTTGCATATAATTGCAATAAGCACTGACTTTTGAACTGAAAAGAAGGAAAGTGTTTTTTTGTGCAGTGCATCTGAGGTTCATATAATAGTCTTGTACTATAATGTGCTTTACTACACCATAAATGACAAAAACAAGCCCTGTTTCATGTTTTCATTTAGTGCAAAAAGTCAGATTTCCCGAGTGTTTTTGTTGTCTGTTGTACCTGCTGAAACTACAGTAGTTGAATATTGCAGTAGCATTTCAGTTCTCTTTTTTTATTAAAAGTGCTCAAAAATTGTTTTTTAAATGTTTTCAAAAACAATTAAAAACATTTTATATTAAACTGACTGGATCTTCAGGTGATTTATGGGAGCTATTTTATATAGGCAGCATGCATTTTGTGAACAGACCTGATGCCATTCTTCCTTTGATCTCATGATATTCGGGGAAATGGATAAAAATCAGCACAAGGTGAAACAGTGTGGCTAACCTGCTCTCTGCTATTAATCCGGAAGGATACACAGATCTTATTTCCTTTGTCACAATTCTGTTGTTCACTTAGGATTTATTACCAGTGAGTGGTACATGGCATAGAGCTTTATGTTGTCCAAAATAACATCTTTTCTTTTGCTCATTCACATAATGTTTTCTTTAGAATGTTAGCCTGTGAGTACCCAGATATGTATATTTTTGGAGCTTTGAATAGAAGAATAAACTGAGAAAATTTTAAAGCACAACTGTGTCCAAAAGCAATATAGGTATTTTGGTGAACCAGAAGTACAAAGTGATAAGTGCACTGAACTGGTAAACCAGAACTTGAGCTATAGTCTGGACACAGGAAAGAGAGCCAGAAGTTTCAACTCCCACAGAGTAATGAACCAGGATCTGAGATGGAGTTTCCTCACTCTGGAGAGGAAACAGATGCAGCACTGGTGCCTGACACTGTAATTTATATTGTAGCCAGGCCTGAGCCAAACAGCCGACTCATCTGTGTATACAGATCTGTGTTAATCCATAGTAGCCCCACTTTCACCACAGGACTGAGCCCTGAGTGTGGACAGGTGGTGGAAGCAATTATAAAAGGAAAAAAGAGAGTGACGTTTGGAAAGTGGGGGGATGAAGAGAAAGGAGACTGCCACGCAAGATGAGCCTGCAAACCAAAACTGATGTTGAGCCTGTAAACCAAAATTCTAAAGTATTCGAAGAAACCGAAACTAAGACAATTAGTGGTCTCTCCAGATAAAAGTAATGAACTATTCGGACGTTACTTTAAGTACATTAGGATTCTCAATGACAGAAGGGAAAAAAATTAATCAAGAGCAGGCGAATAAAACAAGAATCAGTAGATATAATGAACAAGTAACAAAGTCTGAGGAAAAATACTGTGTAGTACCTGAGGCGCTTTTGGCTGCAAGTAAGAGAAAACCTAACACTGGCTTAAGCCGTGAGGATACTTAGTTTTAGCTTAATAATTTTGGAGACAGGAAGTTCAAGAGTTCATTGAATGGCTCAATCTCATCAAGAACCAGAGTGTATCTTTCTGTCTTTCTGTTCCATCTTCTTCAGCTTTGCTTTTCTGTATCTCTTGCCTGTGGTCACAGTTTGGCTGCCACAGCTCCAGAAATTTTATCTTTGTACATCCCAAACAAGGTGATAAGGGCAGTTCTCAGCCTTTTATCAGAGAGAAAAAAAACCTCCCCAGAGTCTCCCATTAGGCACTCCCTTCCCACCTTCCACCCCCCATTTAGTCTCATTTGACAAAACAAGGTCAAAGGCCCACCCTAAAACAAATTAGCTTAGATTCTTGATTCTTTATAGTTAGGGTACGCGTCCGTTTCCTGGAGCATGTGGTTATCCACCTTAAAATGAGTTCCTTAACCTAGAGAAGATGCAAGGTACTTAAGATCTTGTGTCCAGCTGTAAGGGGCTCTCAGTCTTACAAAGAACTACTCACATGTTCTTTGAGAAGTGCCAATTAGAGATATAATATGTGAAATAGAAGAAAAGAGGTGAGAATTCACACAGGAGCCAAGAACAGGGCAAAAGAAGCTTCTTAGTAAAGACTGCATTTAGAAGTAGACTGCTTACTGGTGTAAACTGTTAACTGGTATCCTGCCTTCCCTTTATGAGATGAAAAATCAGGTATTATTGAGTATCATAAATGCAAATTGCCTCAGCACCTATTGCCAAAATTTTGATTTTGTCCAATCTATAGAGATTGATTTTGATGTACATTACTATAAATGAATCTTTAGAATTACAAGTTTGTGGATGGAATCATTGATCAATATTATATAATCTGAAATTTAAAATATATAAATGGCCAGCCCTTGAGTTATCTGCTTATGGGGTGGAAAGGGAAAAACAAAAGGACTGCTATTTTCAAGGTAGATTTTATTTCTAAGAAGTACTTAATTTTGGAGAGAAGAGAAAATAATTTTACAAATAAAATGTATCATGAGAATGGTATTACTACCATATATAGAATATTTCCTTGCACTAAACCCCATATTAAATACGTTGTATATATTCTCATTTCCTTATGGTAACAATTCTGAAAGAATATCATTTTTCAAGTGAGAAAATTCTGGCTCAGGGATTAACTGATAGGGGTAACAGCAACAACAGGAAGGGCTGGGATTAACTTGGTTCCGAAGCCTAGTTCATAACTGTTATGCTATACTTAAGACACTTGTTCAAACTGCCTGCTGTATGAGTTTGATCTGGTGGCTTCTTTAAATTTCATTCCAGCTTAAAATCTGGTGTTGTTTGATTTTTGTGAGGATTTTATTTCCCTTTAAGCTCCCATCCTTATATCTCTTAGACTTCCTTTTCATTTGTGTTGCTTTTGGATTTTACTTGTATTTTGTAACTTTCTATCAATGAATCGAGTCCCTTTCCGTCTCCTACCCCCGTGGAAATACCTGCCCTGATGTATTGGAGTCAAGGGAGAAATAAGATTTAAATACGAAATTTTGTTTTTCACACACATGTTTTTCAGGCACATTTCTTGGAGGTGTACCTAATCATTTATTTTTAAACCACTTTTACAATTTCATCAGGAAATAAGAAATAGGCTGTTGAAGAAATGATGAAGTGCCTAGAATATGTCAGTCTCTGTGCCAGGTGCTAGAAAAGACGCCTGCCATTCTGAAATTTTACAATATAATGAGGAAGACGCACAATGAACAGGATTGCAGGACACAATGAGGTCACCGTATCAGAGACTGCTGTTTGCCACTAGTAGCATTCTCCCGGGCACCTGCAGGAAAGACTGCATGTACCAGCTTCCCTTGTAGTTTAGGGGAGTCACTTACCAAGTACTCAACCAAAAGGTTTGTGTGCGACTTTGTGTTCTTGCCCTCCTTCCTCCCTGCTGGCTGGAACGCACCTGTGGTGACTAGAACTCTAGTAGCTCCCTTGTTCTTCGAGGTAAAGCTATGTGCTGAGGACGATAGAGTAACAATATAGAAGGAGCTTAAGGCCCTGATGACAGGGAAGCTGCCCTACTGGTCCTGACTGCTTGCTTATGAATGAGAGAGAAATTTCTGGTTTAGGTCAAGTATTTTGAGTTTTCTGTCGCTCAACGCAAATCCAAATTCTAACCCAACGTAGCCACCAGAAGGTTTTAAGCAGGAGTGGGGAATGTTAGATTAGCGTGAGGATCACGAAACCATCACGGATTCCCCTGAAGAATGGCAAACTGCCTCTCTTTTTCATTGGGATTGATAAGTCAGGAGAGAATCTTAGAAAGAATACCCTGATTTTAGCGCAACATTTGAATACTGTTTCACAGCTGTCAAACAAAAAAAAAAAAAAAGGATTATAAACTTTGCTTAAACAACTAAAGAGAATTAATCAAATTGAAGGGCAATACAGCATTCTGGTCACTGGTGTCAGACCTGGGTTTAAGTCTCGGCACTGCCAATTATAACCATGACCCTGGGCAGGTTATCTGAATGCTAGTAATGATACCCATCTGGAGAGCATTTTCCAGTGGTGAGCCACAATGGTTCTGGCCTGTTTCTTATTTTTGCCAAAATCTTGAGTGAACATACAAAAAGTTTGCTGTGGCAAATATTGTAGATTGGCTTGCCCAATTTCTGTTCCAGGTTCCTCCTGTTATGCAGATCCTGAGAGGTCAAAAACTGCATTTTCTAGACTTCTTCACTGCTTGGGTTCTGGATATGAATTGCATTCCATCTATTAGATGCATTCTTAAAAGATTTGGAGGATGAAAATGAAGCAGAAGCTATCCTCTTCTCCCCTTTTGGTGACTTTCTTTTTGCAAGCAAGCTCCTAGTGACAAAGTTTTTCAGCAGGAGTGTTCTAGAGTCTGTTCTTGAGATTCTTAGGTATCAAGGGTCCTTGTTCCAATGCCAGGTCACCAGCTCTGTGAATGTCAATATGCAGTCAAGTAGTGGCAGCAATGGTAGCAGCAGCAGTATCAGCAACTTGCTGGTCTGGCTTCCTGACCTCTGGAGCGATTCCAGATATGAATTCGTTCCCATTCCCCTGCTGGTCAGCTCTACCGTGTTCTGGGAGTCATTTCTAGGGGCACAATCTAAAGCTTGCTCTTCCACTTCTGTACATGTAAACAATTATCTGCATTATCTTTTTCTGCTTGAAATACCTAGAATAAGCATCTCCTACACTTAGCTCTAACTATTATGAACAGATGCCTATTGGCTAGGAGTCAGGAACACCTGAGATCTAGACCAAGTTCTGTCACTTTTTTCCCCTTTCTGCACTTAGATGAAGAACAATGACTCCTGTCCTGGTTACTTCCCAGAATCTTCTGTGAAGTTCAGTGATAGGACAATGTTTTGTAAACTCTAAGTATAAGCCATTGTGATTGTTATAACTACGTACATAAAAGGACAGACATTTATCTAGGAGTGGGAAAAACATCTTGTCCTTTTTAGCACTTAAAAGTTATGTTTTACTTGAAGCAACACACACACACACACACCATCCCCCCCAACCTCTGTCAGAAGGTAAAGTAAGAATGTAGATTCAGGCAAAGAGCTGAACTTTGGATTTGGGTTATGTGGCCATAAGCAAGAAATAACTTAATAAAATTTAACTTAGGCCAAGCTTTTGTCATCTGAGCATGTTTGTTTAATTGATACCTACATAGATTATACCTTTAAAGTCAATAGGATTTCTTTACTTAATCTTTCACAATCTTACCTCACCCTCATAGCAGTTCTGAAATGGCTGTCTTGAAAATTACTGGTGATTTCGGAATTGGTAAACCCAGTGACACTGTTCCTTCAGTTTCCAGGTCTTCATATTCTGATTCACTTTCTACCTCAGACCCCAAATTCTTGGTCTCTTTTCAGAG